CTAGGTCTATTTGGATCAACTCTTATAACTGTTGCTGGTTCCCATACTTTATCAAATTGAATCATGACTTGTTATCCAGGTTTTCTCTACGTTTATCAATTTGGGATTATTGATATGTTCGTTATGATGATGATGATGATGCTATACACGATTTATCTAACCTACCATATTTCAAATGTGCCAAGTGTTCTTTGAACCTTGTTTCCATGGGACGCTTGGTTTGGCCTATATATGTTTGATCACAATCATTACATCTAATTTCATATATAACCGACTTTCAACATCGAATCTTTGTTTGCTCAGAGGAAATATAACTAGTCTATGTGCTAGGAAATTTAAACTCGCCATTTTGTTCCGAAAACAGTGATTGGAGTCATTAGTTATGTATCTAAGTGTGTTAGTTTGTTTTCTGAAAACATCAAATTCCAAATCGTTTCGCCATTTTTTATGTCAAGAACATTTGAGAATATTAATTGACCATTTTCTTCGCATTCAAAAGTGAATGTGATAGAGGGGACGCAATTGTTCAATTATTGTGGAATGAAGTTATCTATATTTGTGATTTTTGTATCGAAAATGGCAAAATTATCGTCGACATATCTACCCCAAACCCTAGGGAAATACTAGAATTTTTCTTGTGCATTCGTTTCAAACCGATTCATGAACAGTTCAGCCAAGAAAGGTGATAAACAATTACCCATGGCTGTACCTTCATGTAGCTCAAAAAATTCTTGTCTGTATTGCTACGACTATTGACAGGTATCAACTACCCAGCAAGCATTATGTTTCCTAAAGCTGCACTATACCCGCACTAGTGTGGGAAATAACCATTACGTGTATGTTCTATGACACGCAATTTTCTGGAGCTCGAATTTCTCTCCTTTGTTCTTGGTGCTTGATATTGATAAGTGAGAAAGATAACTCCATGCATGGTAGAAAGTACAGAGATATTTCGTTACGGTGGCAGTCCCTTTAATAGAGTTCACAGGACTCGCCATGCTCAACTCACCGTACCATTATAGAGGGCGCTGCCCTTTTCGTGCAATATTTCACAAGAGTCTCGAGATCATACCCGTGTGTTCACCGAACACGCCCGATCGTTCCCTAAGCGGTGGGGAAACGTAAACGGGCAGCAGTAACTACGTTATGAATATTGGCGCGTGCCTGAATTATTTTGGAGTCAAATTTGTCAATTTAATGTACTTCGAAACGGAACACTAGTAGTTGTGCCTTCTTGTTTTACATATATTATAGGTAGACATCAAATCAATAAACATAGTGCTCTCGCCATCGGTATTTGCTGAACTTCGCTATGGAAAAAATGTTGAATAACTATATTGGGATGAAGAATGATCTATACAGGGTGTATCTAAATAACACCGAAATAATTCAAGGGATGATTCCTTGTGATATAATATGATGAATAAAGGTCATATAAACATGTATCCTAAACTTGCTTCGTTTTCGAGGTACAGGGTTACGTCCTGATTTCGAATCCGAAGTGATTTTCAACCTGCTATCTTGCCTCCTAATATCATTTTCCGGAAATGTTGGTGAGTCCATGACCAGAGCAGTGTTTTTCACTGAAGATTACCTCACTTCGGTCATAGTTGGTATATATCTATCGCTCCTTAAAATTGAACAGTTACGTTAGATATACGGGTTGATATTCCATTATAGAAGTGACATGCACACTGTTTATATTATTAAATACATCCAGTGGGATTGAATTTTATTTTATGTTGAATATTAGAGTGTGTTTTTTTATGTGATATATTTGTTTTGTTCATTTCAAATATATATATTTTTTTAGTAGGCATACTAGTACTTCTTTTATATAATTCTGAAATCTGATCCACCCTGCATTTGTTTCAATTAAATGGCATCAGTAGATAGTAAATAGAATGTTAGGATAGGGACACATGCAAGCCATTTTGACAAATCAATATAGGTATTGTATAGTTTCGATACAAAAAAAATCTCGATTTTTCACATTCTACGTGTATAGGTATACCTTTTGAGCTTGATCAACGAAATCATAGCTCAATTAGAAGAATCGAAAAATGTAATAAAATATAAGGTGTTCCATTTTGAATAACAAAGCTGCTACCACTATACTACTAAGTACTACATAATTACTAATAATAATTTCTAGTGAAGCAGATGAACATTATCGAGAATAATTTGAATAAAACGAGCGTCCTCGCCAACAAAACATAAGCATATAATATGTACATATAGTTTCATGATTTTCGATGAGTGGTTCGCTATTTACATGTAGGACTCGTCGTGACATAGCGAATTATTGCAAATCAAATCATCGCTTTCATTATCTGATAGGTCGCAGTAGATCACTTGATGCCTATCAAATGTTTCTTATTTATTCGAAAAAAAAAAAATGTTGAAATGTGATCAAGAAAACTGTTGGTGGACCACCCCGTACTACAAAAACAAAGACAGCATGAGGGAAGCTGCCTGCCCACTCATTGTATCATGACTGCCTGCTTACGTCTCGGTCTCCCCACCGCTTAGGGAACGATCGGGCGTGTTCGGTGAACACACGGGTATGATCTCGAGACTCTAGTAATATTTCTGCTTGGAATCGCGTGAATCTAATAGCCAACGATAGAGACGTCTGAAAGAAGTGTAAAGGATCCAGAACTATTCACCTATTCACTATTCTCAATAAAAACCTAGTGAGTCTGTTCATTGAAAAAAAAGACGCAAATTGCCCTCATTGTCCACATTTTCTTCAATAATGTAGTGACCTCTATTCTGAACTGGCTTGAACATTTTTTGTTATCATAACCCTAGATATTCTTCAAATTTCTGTCGAGATCCACTTCTCTGTCGAATTATTTCACATGTTCAAACATTTCAAATACTTACACAAATAAGGAAAGCAGGATACATAAAGGAGAAACTGTTGTTGATACAACAACTGGAATAAAACATCAAATAATGGCATACAAGCAAAGAATAAAAAGGAAATGCTTATTCACTTTCATATTGTTGATGATAACTTTCGGCATTATCTTTATCCCTGGAATTTCAATTATTATAACATAAATGTTATCGTCTGCTGTTGAATCATTGCATGTTACCTCAATCTTTGCCTTAATTCACGTCATTGTTGAGAAAGAACTGTTAAAGCATACATATATTCCACCTCTTGTAGAATGGACCACCAAAATCGAACAAAGAACAAATAATCAGTCAAATCAAAACTATTTCCTGAGGTGATGTTTTGAACCTAAAATTGTTTATTTTGACGAATATTCTATTGAAATGAATAAACTCTCGATGTTTTAAGTGAACTAGCACCATTGACAGAGAGACAAATGAACAGAAAATATCAAATCTCTTGCCTAATAACTAGGTTTTTATTTTGAACTACAATAACCCCAAAATATTTCAGCCATAGTTGAACAGTGGCATCAATAATAATGTTCGTCAAGTTTGTGGGTAGTAGCAAAAGTTTCATCATTGATTTTCAGAAAAACATACTAAGTGTCAGAAAATTCACGTGGATAGGTTCCCAAGCAACTCGACTCCTGGTTCTCAGGGCAAAGATCATCCCACAGTTTCCAACTTTTCTATCTCAGTGCCATCTTCTGTCGAAATGTCTTTCAGGCAGATAGTTCCATGTGGTGGTGGACGGAGTATCGACTGATACCATAACCATATCAATTCCGGCGTTCCACAAGTATCCGTTTTGGCACCAACATTGTTCCTACTTCATATCAATGAATCTGTTGGGAGTACCATAGAACGAGGCTACTTTATGTAGGTTTCGAGGGTTTTTTCAACCTAGGCGCTGTATTTATAATTGAGTGAACTTGGAAAATATCAAGGGAAGTAATATAGGTCATATATACCTACATAACCTCTCATAAAATGGGTTTTAGCAACGTGACTGGGATAACATTGGCACCATTCAACGTTTTGTTTTCAGTGTCCAAATATATAACTCTTGTAGCGGAGTGTACTAACCCTTCCCAACAACTTTTGATGACTGAATATTGAAACTGTACGGATTCGAAGCAGCTTACCAAAGATACCCCGTGTGCCAAAGTAGTTCCGTTTCTCGGTACCTTCTCTAAACACAACTTGGCAGTGCAGATGATAGTACACTTAATATATTGCGTTCGCTCGACGAAAGCCAGTCAACGATATCAATGAAGATCTTGCTGAAATCACAGGCGGGGAAACCATCAACCCAGTTGAATTCAACGCCACCAGAACTCAAGCCAGTATATATTCTTTGAAAAAATCGAACGAGCCATTCGCCTAGCTGGTGATGCCACACTCACTAATTCCTGACAACATTAGATCACCGTAGGACCGATGGCGACCTTTTAATTTCCTATAGATATGTTCACGAGTAATATTCTTCAGGAATCTCGACTATCATCTTATCATTATAGCTATATCAGTCAGACCAACTCGACAAGTCTGGTCAGCACATCCTTTAGTCGTCAATCTCGAGATAAGTCGAACATTTCTCTACCAGAACTCGGGCGTCTATAGAACAGCGAAGCTCCGGAAACATTTGAAGGAAGTAGTCTCAAGAACTGATAACCACCATATAAGTTGATTCACAATCAGTTCGTTTTTTTGTAGTGAAACGTGAACTGATGAACAAATAATCAATGAGATATTTCTCTACATAATAATGATATCAGTCGCAGATTTTGAGGTAAGTTCAAAATGGGGTAGTTCAAATCTCCTGTAGGCATGGTCTGATTATAAAATTCAAAAACGTCACATTTAAAGGAAATGGCACAAGAGCATTTTTTTTCTGAAAAAAATTAAAATTCCATATTCTATGATCCAATTATGATTATTTCATAGGCGGAAGAATCTTATAAACATTTATAACCCTACCCTGTTATCTTTCATACGCCCTTGAAATAACTTTCCCTCCATACATATTGTTGTTCGTTTTGAATTGAATTGAGGTACTTGAATGAAGAGACGTTTATAAAATAGTGATTTACCTCGTTGAAACGCTTTATGAGGGTCGAAACTGTTGATCTCGAAGCGTGTATAGGGAGGCTATCTGCTGATGTTCCTGTAGCCCCTCCCAAGTCCAAGGTCACCTGACGTAAGTAGTCGATTGGTGGTACCTGAAAACAAAGAAATTGTGTGTCTCGAAAAACGGAAGGTTTGATTATTCCACCTTCTCAATTAATCCGTTTTCAATGTTATTATCATTTTCATGAATTGTATACGAAGATTTTGGTATGGTGAGGTGATTAGAATTCAACCGCAAATCTCGTAGGATGATACAAATTTACGGAAAATGGTTCCAATATTTCAAAAACAGTTTGCAGTCACCAATTATATTCAAGTTATCAAAGAGAAGTTGGAGTCCTGTCATTGAATGAAACATAATAGGAGGAACTCATGATATTTGGGTTCATTCTTGTCTTCCTGGGGCAACCAAAATGTAGAAATATTTCTTATTCTCCATAACAAAATATCATGTAAATGTTGGAGACTTGGCAACATTGTGATGGATGCTGAGAACTGACAAGACCACGCCCACAATTCGTGCGCTGTTGTCACGTTCATCGATTCAAATATCCTCTAGTGTGAATTAATTTAATTATTATTCACACAAATTAATTATAAGCAATAAACCACAAATCATAGGGAAACATTTTGAGACAATTGATTTTTTATTGCTAATTAGGAATGTTATCAAAACTAGATTGTGAATTTATAAATTATTGAATAACTATCATTTCTGAAGTTCCCAACAAATCGCAATTTCGCTATTTACGAAATCGTGGTATCAGTTTGTACTGGCGGTAAATTTCTTGCCGTTTGAAAATTACCCTGGTATTATTGATCATTTTAGCAATCAAAAATCGACCGAAAACTTTTCAGAAAATATGGAATTGAGAGGTATTTGAGTGATGATTCTATTTAAGTATTCCCAACAACATATAATCGCCAGAAATTCAAGAAAAATTCCAATTCCTACCTCCTGTCCCTATCCTCCCTAGGAACGCACGAAGTTCTTTGAACATTATAGGGATTTACTCGTGCGCTCCCAGCGATAAAAAAAATCCACTCGCCTATTAGAATCATCAACTTTTTTTTTTGGGAAATAGTATAGTGTGCAACCAAGTGGGGAAAGTTCGACTTTTCTCACGAGTGTGAAAGTTTGTGGTATGAGCCTGAAGGGCGAGTGATGCAAACACACGAGTGAGAAAAGGAAATTTCCCCACATGTTGCACACTATACTTTTTCTACAACTTCACTTATTCAAAGGATCCAAGTAATGTAACTTATAGTGGTATTCATTTTATAATGTGGCACTATGCCACATTGAATATTGTGACCAAAGAGTAGACGGCTTTTCTAGTTCCTCAAAGTATTTCAAAAAAGTACATTCTCCGAAAAATATTTCTTTATTTTTTTTAGATTTCATGAATTTTTCGTACATGCCAATTCATATTTTTTCCTTGAAATTTCCGGAAACATATCCAATTTTCGCAGCTTTCACCATTATCTCTGTCTTTGGCGGTGTATTCATCAAAATCGTCATACATCTCGGTATAAACTACCCTGAAGAATCCAAAAAACTTCTGACAGTTGTGACAACTATTCAAAGCTTCAAAGCTGAACACCAGCCAATTAAGTTTTGGTCGATTATTGTTGATTCTCCATGGAAATGTATGTGGTGTTGGCAAAGTGCCGTGAGAAAAAATATTTCTCACAGTATGAGCAATACATGGTTCTGAAACTGAGTAAGCTATGAAAAATGCGCTACTTTTCATAGCAGTAGTAGAAAAATATATTCGATATTTCATCAGTTCCTCAAAAATCATTGAAATTCCAGAAGGTGTCAAATGGTTGCTATTTACATTTGATTCTTTATCGACTCCATTTGTAGAAATTAGTGAATTTGGTGGAAGATGCAGGAAAATAATTTCGTTCCTGACACAATGAATGTCTTTATGTCCATATGGGAGATATCAGCAAGTATTCGCTCACACTAATCCCACGTTATACCAATCCTCGCAGCTACTCTCAACTAAATCTCCTGATAATTGTATTTCATTATGAAATGTAAGCGTCAACAATGACAATATACGCTCACACAGCTCGTGTTCCTGACACAACCAGCGATATAAATGTTATCAAAAGGCGGAATGAATCCTAAAACCCTCAGACTAATTAGCATCAATTCCAGAACAAATCCTACGCGAAACCGAATGTGTCATATCCCACTTCTGAATTTCCATTACAGCGCTCTGCAATTAGGGCCTTCTGCAAATTTGGAGCGTACAATCATATGCACGATGATGTGCGCTCATACTCGGTTGCGATTGGGAGAACAATAAGTTAATTTGTTTTCTTTTCCAACGGTCCTTTGTGTTTTGAATTTCACATTGTGTTGTTTTGGAATTCATGTAGAAAAACTTCATGATACGCTGGTGTAAAAATATTCATCGGTTCATCTCGGAACTAACCAGTAGTAGTAGTAATAGTAGTATTGTGGGGAGGCTGTAGCCAGGCAAGTATAGGCCCCCATGGGCCCTTTTTGCCAGCCCCTGCTCTCCACATATCTACACATCCCTCTTTCAGTTGTCCTTTTCGAACCTTCCCGTCCTTCTGATGGAGGTCAGGATGTCCGTCCACTCTAATTTTACCAAATCTTCCTGTTGTAGTTTATTTACTCCAAAGATTTCGAATCTCATCCTTCCATACGCCTCACACTCTCCGAGGAAGGGAAGTGATGTCTCCTCATCTTCTCCGCATTCACGGCAAGTATGACTATCTTCCACACCTATGAGTGATAGGTGTCTGCGTAACCTGTTGTGCCCTGTCAGTACCTCGGAAATACCCAACATTAATGTTATTTAAATTGCCAATGGGCTTATATCACAAAACATTTTTATTCCATAATTCGATAGAACTCACCCAAACTAGCTCACCACCGCAAACCGTTACTTGCAGTGAGCTCCCTACGTTTTATAAAAAATTAATGAAATTGATTTTTCGGACCTCTGAAAACGAGGCGATGATGTGACGTCAAAACCCTAATACTGAAACAAGACTATTCCAGACAGAGATGAATGATACATGATTTCTGACAGAGTGAATTAGCATGAGATCACAGTTGAAAGAATTAATATATCAGTTGCCTCAGTCTCCGTCGGGCGTTTGGTATTTTCTTTTAACCATGGCGAGATGAGGTTTTTACGTCATAAGAGGGTCCGTTTTCAGAAGATACTATTATTTGTGTCGAAAAATAAAACATTCCAGTTAATTTTTCGATCGAATTATGTCGTCAATCATTATTTATGTATAAAAGGATCATTATAAACATGGTTTGAGTTAAAAGTTCTACTAAGGTGTACGCGCCCATTCACATCCTGCTGGAGTCAGTTATTTCCTGTGATGAAGTGATAGGGAAAGCCAACAATCTCAAGCATTTCAAACATCTAGGAAGCTGAGAAATCATGAATGATTGATAATATGGCTCTTCCTATCGGATATGAGTTGGAGATTCACTTGTCTACGTTACCAATATACAGGGTATGTCACGACGAGCTTCCACTATCTTACACATCTATCTCATGAAAACGTGCAAGCTCATATTTTTTTTGGAATGCATTACAAATATTTTCGACTACTTGAAAGTAGTAGCAGCAATGATATTTCAAATGAAACACCCTGTATTTAATCGTATTTTCAGATTCTCCCTCAGGAGCTGATTCTATCGATACACACTTGGGGTCTATCAAAGATGATTACAGATAATTGTGTTGAAACTATTCATTATCGGTCAAAACGGTTCACATGTTCCTATCTCAACCTTTGATACACTATTTACTGATACAGAACAGATAGATACACGGTGGTTCAAGATTCAGAGTTCTGATCACCCTGTATTTGTTCCGATTAAATATCAGTGAATAGTAAATCAACAGTTGAGATAGGGACATGTGAGTCGTTTTGGTCGATAATGAAACGAAAAAAAATCCCCAAGTTTGATGTTGTTGAAATCAACTCTGCAAGGAGAATCTAAAAATGCAATGAAATACCGAATATTCTATTTGAAATGACGAAGTTGTTGCTACTTTTTGATAGGAGTGGCAACACTGTACTGCTGAAATCATTTTAAATGAAGAGATCGTATACTAAAATATAAGCATGCATATTTTCATATATTTCTCCCGACTGGTTCTCGATGTAGAGATAGTGTAAGCTCGTTGAGACATACCCTGTATTGCAAGTTTCATAAAAAGAAGGAGAAGAAGAAAAGAAAAAGATGAGTATCGGAAGCATTCCGCCGTGTTTGGCACCGAGGACATCTCCACTGTGTTGTGGTGGACGAAATTTCGTCTGATACCATAGGCATCAAGTCCAGCACCAACATTGTTCCTTCTCAATATCAATCAATCAGTTTGAATTAACCACCTGCCCTATTCACAGCTTCGCAGATGACGGTTATCTCCATACTGCGTTTTCTTCCAGAATTCCCATTCCATCTCCGGAAACTGAGAATTCATGACTAGGTCAGGTTAACGCTGACAATGAGCATCTCGCTGGAATTTCAGCCTCGAAAACCTATATCCTGGTTGAATTCAAGGCCACCAAAAGTCAAGAATGATTTTTCTCTATAAAAGATGGATTCAATATGCCTGATATAATAATGTCTGGTACCACAATTTCCATATAGTTAACCGTATGCCCAGAAATACCATCAGTAATAGATGGAAAAATCATGTCATAAGAAAAAATCATTGATTCCATGGTCTACTGTGATTCCTAAATAGCTACAAAGGAGTACTGCTCATACATATCGATCTCAGAAAGTAACTGTATCCTATTCTTGACTTAGATCACATTTTTATTTGGGTTTGACCCCAGCCAGTAGTGAAGGGTTGAATGTGGTCTGAACATCACACCTACAATCTACGTTCTGCAAGACAGATTCAGGTTGACTCTAGGGTAAAACATACAGATACTTGAATGCATTTAGTTTTCTACGATTCTGCTTGGGGTATCATCGCTCAATAATCTCAACAGTGTTTCGGAGACAAACCAAGTCGATTGATTCTTCATGTTGAGGTTTTCCATACAGAAGGACAGGTATAGTACCTGATTCCACAAGCATCTTCTAGATGCTGTCACCAGAATAAGAGGACAATCTCTTCTTTGGTGTCACCTCTATCGTTGACTGACTGAATAAATCAATGAGGTTCATAGGAAAACTCGAAACGATTGTATTGTATAGGAAAGTATTATTGAACAAGTTCACAATGGATCCTGAGCTCACCTTATAAACTGCGTAATTGATGCAGGAGAGTTGATTAACAGACTTCTAGTAGGAAAAAATATCAGTTGCAAACAAATAAAGAGTTGCTCGCCAGATTTGGATAAGATCCATACTTGGAGATACCACAAGTGCAATTATTCCGGAAGCGACCGTTCAACACATCAAAGCCTACTGATTTCAGTAAAATATTTGCGCTTAGTAAGAGATCTTCGAACAACTGGCTGGTGACTACCTCACACTGATACCACACAAATACCATCCACCCATCCACTGAGACCCCCGAACATCATTTCACAAAATTCATTACTGAATTAGGTGAGATTTGTCTGAAATCGATTGGTTCTGAATTGGTAAAACCAAATATTTCGACCCTTAGTCTCGCGGTCTCGCTAAGCGAGAGCATGGATATAGTATATGTTCAGCCGTTTCATCTTCCACACAGCAGAACCGCCAGTCCGCTTGTTGGTTCAGACACATCCTTCCTAGGTGGTATCTCAGACGACAGTGTTCCTCAAGCAGTACTGTCAGAATTCGCAGGTCACCCTTGCTGCATTCTAGGATCTGTCTGGATATATTTTTCGATGGTTTAGGCAGGAACGCCTTCTAATGGTTTAATCCTTGTGATTCAGACCAGTATATCGGTCCTTTTCACTCCGCCCAGTCCGAGATAGTTGTTTTGGCTGCACTTGCGGTGACCTCAACTATGGTTCTGTTCCTATGAACACAGGCTTTCTCGTCGATCTTTACTTCCTGGTGTCCAGGCACAAACAGCAAAGTATCTCTGTTGTTAGCACCCAGGAGGATTCAAGACAGTTCCATACAAGCATGGAATTAATCTTGATGTAGCTCGATGCTTCAAGTGCAACTTCACTGTCTGATACAGTACTGATGTTTTTGTTTCCTATTCGTCAACTCTCTATCACATTATTCAATTGCGAAGACCTCCGCCTGAAAGACTGTAGCATACTGAGCGAGATTGACTGAGAATTCCTTCTTCGATTTTATGCTGAACATACCAGCTCCAACTCCCAGCGTGATATTTTAACCATCTGTGAACATCAATCTAAAAATAGTCAACGTTCTGCCTGTCTTCCGTCATCTATACCACTGTTGTTAATTTCCCGAATATTTGTGGAAATGGCTTCAATTTTTTAATCTCTGGTAGAAGTCCTAACCTTACCTGATAAAAGAGTTGGTATTCGGTGTCGGCCAAACGGAGAGCAACCTCTTCAGGGAAATGGAGCAACTCCCGCAACTCCTCCAGCTCTGCACAGTATGTCGTCTGCGCTGCAAGAGGAATCCCTTTCTCCAGCTCTGGAAAAAAAGGAAGAGACTCGTCACTCGTCGTTGAGAGTTATCTTAATGACGTCTCCTGATACGGTTTATGGTTATGGACGTTAGGAACGGCTTATATGACTTTAATTTTGAGAAAGAAGCTGGCGACCATAAAACTTCACCTAGCAAGAGCATAAAGTGTTCGCTGCTCCCATAAATCAACCCTTCCATATAATTTCTGAATAGCGGTAACTAAATTGCGAGGAAAGTTTCCATCAGCAACTCATAGTTAATTCATGGCGGGAATTTCGTTCTTATGATTTATATAATATGGGAGTTGACTTGAGAGTGAAATCGAATTATACGTGGCTCTGGTAAGTTGTTTTATGATAATGAACACCTTCACTAAGAAGTTTCACTATAAATCGATAATCATGCAACAGTTGATTATCAATCAATGAAAGTTAGTTATTCATCATTGTTGAATCACAAACAGGCGGAAGTTAGAATATTGGTGTAAAAGAATTCCATCTTGAGATATATTCCAGGAATATACAGGGTGTTTCATGATATGTAGGACGTACTTCAAGAGGTGAGAGGGCGTCTCAAGAAAATGAAAAAAGTTTCCATAAACACAGTTCGGAGAAGGCTTCGTTAACGGAATACAAGGCGTTGATGTTGCAAATAACAATAACAGTTTAGTCTCAGATACTTCACCAGATTCACAATTTCAGATAATACTTTTTTCTGCAACCGACACAAAAGTCGTCCATTTTGATACCAAAATCAGCTCTTGAATTGACGTTTATATTACTGACACAAAAATAGGTATGTTGCTAGGGAACATATTTAGTTCCTAGGAGCTAAAGTTGAATTTTAGTTCATAGGAGCTAAAGTTGAACTTTAGCTCTTAGGAACCAAAAAGTATGTACTGGACGTCATCAAGAATAAACAACATTGTGACGGTTGATGGTTATTTGGGTTGAGACGCATACCTGATTTGTTTCCGATTTTGGCAGATTTGGCATTTCATACCCATGCTGGAGATATAAATACACCCTCGAATTCACCTTAGTATAGTTTAGTATTGGAATTATCAACATCTCAGTTAAGTATTTTTGTTTTGATCAGGGAAGCCCTCAAGATTCAAATACTTGCTTGATCTGTATTTCATCCGTTATTCTCGGGATGGATAACTTGTTTTTAAATAATCACGGCAAGCAATAGTTTTTTTGTCTCAAACAACGATATTGTTCAGCTTCATCTGATTATCAAGTCAAACACAGTGTAGTATGGAGAGGAATAAATAATCACTATTATATCATTGTTGATATGCTCACTAACCTAACATTTTCCACGTTTTGTTCCTATAGCTGGCACTGGCGCGGTATTTGCCATCAGAGCACCATACACAAATATGTCACTCTGTGGTTGTATTTATATTGAAACTACAATTTGAACATCCTAGAAAACCTAACCTGCTGTCAATGCAGGTAGAATATTCTCACCACATGGATTATTTGTCAATATTTGTTGCATTGCATATTGCATACATATGGCACGGCATTGGTGGTTACTTCACATGTTTATTTGAGTTGATTGTTTCGGTTGCAGAAAAAATAGCATGTTTCATTAGGATCACAAGTGACTTGGTTCGACTCGCAAATTTTGCTTTCGCTCGGCTTCGCTAAACGCTCCGCCTCGCAAATGCAAAATTCGCTTGTCAAACAAAGTGTCACTTTTGATCCTAATAAAACAATCTACTATTCTACCGTGGCTGTAACGCAGAGTGGATACACAAAGAATTCTGAATCACCCTGTATAGTATCCACTCTTCACGTCGAAGAATTACATGGTACTCCTTCTATTGACACTTTGATCGCCATGTATATCCAAAATAAGTATACACGTGCGAGGGTCAAATTCGCTGTTTGTATACTTCTGGATACACTTGCAGGGCTCTGGTTATTTCAAATAGGTAATCAACTGACGTGGCCTGAGGCTGCATAAAAATATACTATTATCAGTAGTAAATCAGGGAGTTCACGTTGGTTATACATTTTTTTTAGTTATACCAGTTCATATCATCTATCACAAAGTAACACGGTACTGATTATGTACGTAGTGGAAAATAAATAAAAATGATTGAGCTATTTTTTCTGTGATGGGAAAAAAGTTGAACATTTCATTTCTGTTGATAGGTTATCAAATAAATGTCACTTTTCATAAATTTCTTTCTTTCCACGGGAAAAAAGTTAGGATGAATGTAAGAACTTTTCACCCGAATATATATAGAGTGTTCGAAATAGACGACAATGAGGGTAATTCCTCAGGTCATTTCCTGAGAAAAAAATATATCACATGAATGTGGGTCCGGGAATGTATCGTTTATAAAATACAGGGTGTGTGTAATTCATGTTACGAAACTTCAACAAATTTTTTTCGTGCCTCCACAAATATTGGACTGGAGAAAGGATCAATTGCTCTATTGGAATCCTTCATATATTCTTCTTTGATTTGTTTTGCAGTAACGTTCCATATGGTTTTCACAAAATTTTCTTCATAATTCTCTCCATTACATTTTCGCATATTGAAAGCTCAATCTTTCAAAATAGTTGCTATCATTTCAGTAGGAATCAATTCATTCAGTACGTAGTTTCTCTCACTACAAAACATGAGGAACTGTTTCCATACGTACTTTTTTGTTTTTACTGTATTATGAGGCTCATTGTTTTGAACACACTCGTCTATCGACTCATTTTTTGACAAGGAACGTCAAAATTCACGGCGCGCCTTGTTTGTATCTAACAATATGAATTTGTTACTATGGAAATGGACATAACTAGTTTCTCTATGAATAATCACCACGTATAATCAAAATTGTACGAGGTAGCCTCACTCAATCGAACGTTCTGATTGGTTTAAAATCATATGAAGAAAATAATCAACGTTATTCTGCATAATTTCCGAGGCAAAATATGTTCATGCACTGAAATGAAGGTAAACGAAATGATAATAATGAAAATAAAAAAAATCAGAAATAAAGTAGACCCCTACGGTGACACTATAATTCATAACCAAGTTATCCCTGGTGGCAAATTCTAATTGTGATGCACTGTATAACCATTAACACTGTCAACACGAATGCGAGCTTGAGAAGTAGATGATTACACTCATTTTCCAGGACTAGGACATTCCCGCTTGTGAAATTGTTGAAGAGGTGTAATAAAATTCTGGAAAAGTTTTATTTCCGTTGCCCTTCCTGGTGCAGTATACGAAACTCTCATGTGCTAGTTCCGAGTATTATTGCATTACCGAACAACTCCGTATCGTAAAAGTTCCACACTGTGAGTTTCTATCGCGAATCAATATAAAAATTCAATGCCATCGGTAGAGGATGATTCGTCATATTTTGATCTCTACAGTAGTAGAACATGTACGGGGTTATCCATCGAACAGACCCACCGATATATTCACCTTACTCCTTAATCAGGGAGAAATACATAAGAGATGATTTTTTTATCGATAAATACATGTTGACTTGTATGAAAGTTTCATTGTCATGGCACACAATCGAGAATCAAGGGAGTGAAAAATTCGCGAGAGCTTCCTTGAGCGATATTTTCTACTTTCCTTGATTGGAGATATTTTGGCCAGATGACAATGAAGTTTGAATGCAATTTGTACTGTTTTTGAATGTATGATAAATTGAAATTCATAATACAGAACGTGGAATGAGATTTAGAATTGAGAAAATCTCATCACGAATCTGCGATTGAACGTCTATAAAAATTACAAGTTTTCATCGTTCAAGTTTGAACTCTATATAAAGAAATACATTGAGAATTCACATTCTCTATATGATGAAAATATCAAATCTTTCTCGGTTTATTCAACAAAAAACAACTACTTTTCTATTTGTATGCCACGACGAACATTGAATTATATCTATTGAACACACACGATGAGAATTTGAAAACAAAATCTTCTGAAGAAGAGAATTTGCATTCTCCTTCATATAAAGATATAAAAATAATATCATTCTGAATATTCTGAAAGAATCAACTACATGCCGTGTCGAACATTGAATTATACAGTGTGTCGCACTTACCATGCTCACCATGGGTATCTTTTTAACGGTGAGAGATACGAGGTCGGTTAAATGACACCAAATGTGGAGTTTGTCAAGGCCAATTATAATATGAAAAAATATTTCGATAACATTTATTCATTTTTGTTTTATACGCAAAATACAGATTTTGATCATTTTCATGTCTCCTCCGTAACTTCTCTATTTATGAAAATATTCAAATAGGAATTCCACATTCTCATGGCAGTTTTTCAAAGTTATTTCGAAAAAAATATGAAATTTATACAAACTCTTCTAGAATATGAGATATCAGCACCAAATTCAGTTTTTCAAATGTAGATCATAGCTCACTATGACTTAGTTACGAATAACTTGTTTTTCTCTTACAGATGTCATGTCGCAGTAATAGTTTTGTGTTGATAACAACGGAGTTATCGTCATTTATACAAAAACAAAAAAATATTTGGAAGCCGCCACTTGAATTTATAAATTTTAACAAAAAAATCATGATCGCCCACCTCAAAAACCCCCACTCAACAATTTTGAATGGAATCGGATCTTGGTAGGATGTTGAAGAATAAGATCGTATTGAGAGAAAGAGCCGAAACCACAATTTATAAACTGAGCGAGTATCGAAAAGAACCTTATTCCAATTGAGACTCTGGTTATTGCTTGTGATGGAATGATGGAGCAGAGATCACAATAGCCACCATGGAGATAATCTGATGATGAAATAGCAGAAACTTCCTGATTTGACTGACTCAAACTGATTTCACATACCTGTTCAACCAAGAATTCTTTAGATCATCTTCTTATACGAACTCTTATAATAATTTTGTGAACACATATAGTCACTTCGTGGAACTCTGATGTACCAGATATTGATGTATCTATATCAAAGAGTTGAATACATTGTTCGTGTATCACTTCTTCAAAGTTGAAATCCCAA